CCCCAAGAGTCAAAATGTAATTTGAATCCTGTGGAAGAGAGTAGCCAGGCCTATGGTGGACTGCGCTCTTGGACACTGGCAGCTAAATTCCTCGTGAGTCCCTCTCTAGGGGCCTGAGTGCTTTTTTGGATCTGGGCTTGCATGACTACACCAGTCTTCAGAGAAGGGCTGTGAGCTCAGTGTGGTGAAGCAGCAGTCTGACAGTGGGTAAACAGCACTATTGCCTACCGCAAGGGCAGACAAAATAAACTCATGAGATTTATTGCCAACCTGAAATGCACACAGATCCCTGCCCGATGCCTTGCTCCATGTCTGTACATGACAGTATCCTTGCAAGCAGCATCATGTTCTGTAGAGCCTGGGAAATTCTGGGCAGTCTCCAGGGGCTGTAGGTACTGCTTGTTGAGCTCACCGTGTGCCTGCTGTGAAGTGCTACCTTGCATTTTAATGTCACATTCCCTAGACTGAGTCCTTAATCCTGTAGATTTACTTCAAAGTCCTCTCCCCCTACTTTCTTTATTTATTGCAAGCATGAATGAAGCAGCCCTCTTTGAGCCTTGGCTGGGCCACTGCCAGATATGGGAACTCAAAAGGTCACACGAGTTTACAAGAACAAGGTTTACAGAGAATCTGGCAGGGATCCAGACCAGTATGTTTTGTTTCTGCAAAAACAATAAGTTATGTCAAGCCCTCATTTCCCTGAAGAAATAAAGCAAATTTGGGGACTAAAGAGAAAGAGAGTCAGATTTCCCCAGAACAGCAGGGTCATGTTGGGCAAGTGAGCTTCTGGGGTGCAGCTTTATGGAACTGATTAAAGATGAAGTCAGAGCCTGAGCAAATACTTTTCTATCCTGGCCTAGGAGATGCTAAATTGAACTACTGCAGCATGTCTGCTGATGACCAGACTAATGACAACTATGCCTTTTTCGGTTTATTTGCTCATCCTAGTGCCTGCATGTTTTATTTAACTTCAGTCTTCAGGTTTTAAAGGATCAATTGGCAAGGGTAGATGATGCCTACAAAATAATAAATGGTATAGAACAGAGATTCCCAAACTTTTTCTTATTGCATACCCCCTTCCAGATTTATCAGCTACCCACATACCCCTACCAATATACGTTTTATATTTTAACTCCTTAAATGCCAATTATTATTATTATAATGGAAATTAAACCTACCATTACACAATTTCTCCTGCATACCCTTCAGAGATGTCTTGCATACCCCCAGGGATACACTTATCACAGTTTGGGAGCCCCTGGTATAGAACAAGTAAAGCAAATGCTTTTCTTTACCCTTTTTATTATATATGAACAAAAAGATATTCAACTAAATTGAACAGTAAGGCATTTACATTGGAAAGACTTATGCAACGTGTCATTAATTAATGGAACTCATTGCTGCTGGGTGGCATTGATGCCAAGAGCACAGCAGGATTCAAAACAAGAACTGGATTCTTTATGGTACATGCTCACAGTATCAGACAGTGCTAAGGGAAGGGTATCAGCCTGTCCCTTAAGTGGGCTGTGAGAGCATCCACGGTAATTGGTTAGGGTGAAAAAAAAATGCCAGGGTTTGAGATCCTGTTGCTTCAAGGCATAAGCTAATACAAGCAGTCAAGAGAAAATTCCCTCTTTTAGTTATTAACACCTGGTGATGGCCATTGTCAGAGAGGAGTCTCCATGCCGTCCCCTTTCTTCTCCATGGCTTTACCACTAAATTTGCCATCTGCATCGCATGAGCCTGATTAGAAAGCAGGAAATTTCAGAGGTTGCTGTGCTCTGCTCCTCAGCAAAATGTTGATGTAGAAGTGTAAATGTCATGCATTAGGACTTCAGTAGACCTGGCACAAAGTCTCTTCAACTCAAATAGTGAGTGTAGGAGCAGATGTAGTAGGGAAGAAGTTAAGACAAGTACAAAACCTGGGACCTTTTCACCATGCTTTCCAATGAAAAAGCTTCAATACATTGCCTTTCTTTTCTCCAAATACCCACGTATTACATAGCCTCTACAGCAGAGATCTCAGCACAAAACAAAGCCTAGGGCTATGAATGGTAATTGTAGTAATTTAGAATACATGTAGAAGAATATTTTATAGATCTCATAGACATTAGGGCTGGAAGGGACCTCAGAAGATCATCAAGTCCAGCCACCTGCCCCAGAGGCATGAAGTCAGCTGGGGTCATAGGATCCCAGCAAGATATTATTTTTAGAAGGCACAATCCACAGTTGAAAGGACAACCCTTATGGTATCCGCTAGCTCTCATGTTGCCTCTGTCACTTAGAAAACAGGCACCATAAGCAAATGGGTGATATTGTTGGGGAAATGTTTCTTGCCTCTGTTTGGATTCATTTCTTAGGCAGCCTGTGCCCCACAAAAGATGAGGCTCCAAAGAGAAGTTTTTAATTAACTGGTTTCCAGGTGAGATAAAAGGGGAACTCTGCTAAGCAGGTTTGAACTGGTAGTTGCTCAAAATTCATAGTCCTAAGGGCATATCCAAGCCATGGTGGTGGTGTGCCAAAGCACATCAGTCCTAGTCTGTCCTTGCCATCACCTCTTGCTCATACAATTCCAAACGTGAAAATGGACCCATGAAGATCTTGGCCTGTGCCTTGCTTGAGAGCAGCCACTAGGAACAGCCCTGCAGTAACCTCACTGGCATATTTCTGGATTAGAGTGGGCAGGGTGGATCATGATTGCAGGGGGGAGAGGGTCCCAGCTAAGGCAGGCTGTCACTGCAGTGTAGACATGCCTTAAGCCTGATTTCAGGAAAAAAGTGTAACATCTTCTAGTAAAACCATAGTTATGCTAGAGAATCTTACTAAAAAATCCCACTGCTACCCAAAACTAGTCATCTAATATAGAGTTGGCATAAGTAGGATGGCCCAGGAACAAGACCCATTTTTATTAAAAGTTTGCCTCAGTGCTTAAAAAAAAAAAGGTTTGGGCTGTAGATTGCAGTCTGTGCTAGGACTTCTCTCATTCAGCTTGAGCAGCGCTAGCCACTTTCATTAATCATTTCTTAGTAGTGCAGACAAGGCATTTTACACTTGAGTAAATTGCCGAAGACAAATTACTCACTGGAGTTCCAGATAGTCAGATGCTCTATACCAGCGTTTCTCAACCTGTGGGTTGCGACCCAAAAGTGGGTTGCAAGGATATTTCAAAGGGTCATGAGCTGCGGCAGGGCAGGGGGGCGGGGGGAAGATGGCTGCCACTTCCAGTGGGGGAAGGGGGCAGGGGAGAGCTGCATGGCTAGGCTGGCAGTACTGGGGCCAGTGCCTATGCTAGCAGGGGTGGGGCATCCAGGAGACACTCCTTGGCGGGCAGGAGGGGCCATGGCCAGGCTGCCTGGCACAGTGCAGAGCCCCAGGCCAGGGCAGGAGGGGTGCCACAGGCCTCTCCTCCTCCTCTCTTCAGCCTATGCCAGGGCCAGACTCACTCTGCTGCTGCCGCCAAACATGAGCCAGAGCCACTGCACTCCAGCCTGAGTGGGACGGGTACAGCTGGGGGCCCCTCTTGCAGGGCTTAAGGGGGCAGGGCTCTGTGGGTCAGGAGTAAAGGACACCAGCATGGCTCGGAGCAGGGGAGAGAGGGGACAGGGGTTAGGGCGCTGGCAGGACCGGGGGGACAGGGCATGAATCTTTGCAAATGGGTCCCAGTAGGAAAAAGTCTGAGAACCACTGTTCTATACCATGTATGAAACCCCTGGCATAGCAATGATTTCATTTCTATCCTCTTTCAGTTCAGAGCAGTCACCCAGCTATTATGAATTCCTTGGAGTGAACAGCTGTCAGGATGTGATTCATTTATACCGACTGCTGTGGTCCTCCACAGTCCTGAACATCATTGGATTGTTTCTTGGGATAATCACGGCAGCCATACTTGGGGCATTTAAAGACATGGTAAGGCTTGCACTTCTTTTTATCTTTTCTTAATAGTGGCTCCTGCTTCTTGCAATATGGTGACAGCTAATGGGTCAAACAAGACAGAAACTGTAACCATATAAATCAAGAACTCTCAAAATAGCATCATCTTTGAGCCTTCAGTCATTTTTAGGTTGTGCTCTTGCCTGCTGCCTTAACCAAATAGGTTAGGTTTGGTCAATATGTGG